TATTTAATAAAATACAATAAATCTTTTATATACGCAGATATATAGAACTGTAACTATAAAGTATTACATGTAGAACTTCATGTTATACATATCAATATAAACAATTAAACATGTATTATAAATTCTAAAATATAGAATTATAGAATCATAGAATCATTAAGGCTGGAAAAGACCTCTAAGATCATCAAGTCCAACCGTTAACCCAACACCACCATGCCCACTAAACCATGTCCCTAAGCACCTCATCTACACGTCTTTTAAATACTTACAGGGATGGTGACTCTACCACTTCCCTGGGCAGCCTGTTCCAAGGCCTGACCACTCTTTCAGTAAAGAAGTTTTTCCTAATGTCCAATCTAAACCTCCCTTGGCACAACTTGAGGCCATTTCCTCTCATCCTAGCGCTGGTTACTTGGGAGAAGAGACCAACCCCCACCTCGCTACAACCTCCTTTCAGGTAGTTGTAGAGCGCGATGACGTCTCCCCTCAGCCTCCTCTTCTCCAGGCTAAACAGCCCCAGTTCCCTCAGCCGCTCCTCATAAGACTTTTTCTCTAGACCCTTCACCAGCTTCGTTGCCCTTCTCTGGACACGCTCCAGCACCTCAGTGTCCTTCTTGTAGTGAGGGGCCCAAAACTGAACACAGTATTCAAGGTGCGGCCTCACCAGGGCCGAGTACAGGGGCACGATCACCTCCCTACGTAACATAATATATTTTTTTATTACCTTTCAGGGAGTCCATCTTCTGTATCCAGTACAATGTTCGTGCATTCATGAATGTCAAGCACTGGCCTTGGATGAAGCTGTTCTTCAAAATAAAGCCCTTGCTGAAGAGTGCAGAATCTGAGAAAGAGATGGCCAACATGAAGGAAGAGTTTGATAAAATCAAGGAAGAGCTTGCAAAGTCTGAGGCAAAGAGGAAGGAGCTAGAAGAGAAAATGGTTTCTTTGCTGCAGGAGAAAAATGATCTGCAGCTCCAAGTGCAGGCTGTGAGTATTGCTAATGTTTTTGGCTTGTAATGTCCTGTGTAAAATGATCCCAAATGTCTCAGTAACAGACACATTATCCCAAAATAGTATTTATTTTAAAAACATATTTTATAAAATAGGAAGGAAGATCACATAGAAACGCTAAGCTGAAATAAACAAATATTAATAAATTTGCAATGAATTATTGCAGCTGGTTCCTTACATGTGTAAATCAAGAGAGAAGTAATCAATTTCCAGTTAGTAAAGACTACAGTTTACAGTATGACATTTTAAATTATACATGGCAACTTACAGTAGCAATTATCATGTCTTTATAAAACTTTATATACTATATAATTTTGATATGTTATCAATGAAGATAGACTGGAGGTCCTGTTAACACCTTTTATTTGGAGAATCACAAATGGATTCAGGTGGAATAGGAGGGGCTGAAAGTGTCAGGCATTTCTCTAGCATTTATGGTCCCTGTCTTCTCAGGAAGAACAGGGATGAAAGTGGAGTCCTCCCCTTTTTCCCTGGCAATAAAAAGGTAGCAACAATAACCCCCTTAAAACTGTCTTTACCAGCAAGGATTAGGATTCATCTGACCCCATTTTGATATCTACAGTCTAAAAGTCTACGTCTGAGCTGGTAGCCTCAGGTTCTCTTCATCTTCAGCAATGAGAAACTCATCCTTTTAGAGTATGCTAAAATTCTTCAAAAAATGTAAATTTTTTTTGTTGAATGGCCTGCCTCTTGATATCATGGCAGATATCTAAATCTACATGAGACAAACCCCAACCTAGCTATCTTGTTGAGCTACAAAAAGTCTTCTGCCTGGATGGTATCATTGCTCTTCACTAGAACAAAGAGAAAAAGAACAAGCAGTACGTAGAAAATAAAGATTATTTCTTAGTAGCTTGCATCTTAGAATGCATGTAAATTCAGGTAATTGATACTGCCCTGGTAAACACCAGTCTCCCCTCCAAACTGTTCTTCTTGACCACAAGGGCTAGAAACATGCCTGGTTCAAATACTGCCTTTGAAACAGTGATCTTAACACACTATTTTGCCAGAACTAAAAATTAAATTCATGCTCAGTATATCTTTTTGGGAGAGTTGTAATGAGATTTTGGAGTTGGAGTTTTTAGAATTCAGGTTTTAAACACTGTATGCTAAAAAATCTGCCTACATGGTTCTCTCTAGTAGAACTCTATTCCAGTTTCCAGTCCAGTCAAATGCAACATAAATAAAATAATGAAAAGATAGAGGGGAGATACTGCCATATCTGATTTCAGGCTCTATCTTCAAATTAATGTTGGAGTTGCATGAGCAGTTAAAGAGTTTAAAAAAAAATGCTCAGAGACTATATTCATAGTGTGATAATATATTCCTTTGTTTTCTGGGCTGGAGGCAGTCTGAAACAAATAGATACTCATATAAAAATGAGTTTTAACAACAAAGGACATTGTAAAGCTGCTTTGAAAATAATCATTCCTTGTTTGAAAATCAGTAAGAAAAAATAATTATTTGAAAACTTCTTTATTTAAATGGATCATGTGTAGGAAGCTGATGGTTTGGCTGATGCTGAGGAAAGATGTGACCAGCTCATCAAAACCAAAATCCAGCTGGAAGCCAAAATTAAGGAGGTGACTGAAAGGGCTGAGGACGAGGAGGAAATTAATGCTGAGCTGACAGCCAAGAAGAGGAAACTGGAGGATGAATGTTCAGAGCTGAAGAAAGATATTGACGATCTTGAGTTAACACTGGCCAAGGTTGAGAAGGAAAAACATGCCACCGAAAACAAGGTATAAGGCAGAACCTGTCACTCACGCTCCAGAAAAGAGCACTGTGCTGTTACAGAACTTCTGTGTCTGATTCCTTTATTTACACTTGGTCCCTTCTTCTCAAAGGTGAAAAACCTCACAGAGGAGATGGCAGCCCTGGACGAGACCATCGCCAAGCTGACAAAAGAGAAGAAAGCCCTCCAAGAGGCCCATCAACAGACACTGGATGACCTGCAGGCAGAAGAGGACAAAGTCAATACGCTGACCAAAGCTAAAACCAAGCTGGAGCAGCAAGTGGACGATGTAAGCATGGTTGTCCAGAAGAATAGGACAGGTATGGAGTTAGGCCTGGCTGGTAGAGCACTGATGGTCTTGTTCTGTTTAGCTGGAAGGTTCCCTGGAGCAGGAGAAGAAACTGCGCATGGACCTTGAGAGAGCTAAGAGGAAACTCGAAGGAGACCTGAAGATGAACCAGGAATCGCCCATGACAGCATAATGGATTTGGAAAATGATAAGCAGCAGCTGGATGAGAAACTGAAGAAGTAAGTGTGGCTGTGGGGCACCTGAGTGCTGGGCTGGTGCACCTGACTTTTTTCTTTGAGCTCTAACATGGTTTGCTTTGTGCAAAGGAAAGACTTTGAAATCAGCCAGATCCAGAGCAAAATCGAGGATGAGCAAGCCCTGGGCATGCAATTACAGAAGAAGATCAAGGAGCTGCAGGCAAGCCTCTGTTCCTTCCCCTCTTTCACCCAGTCTCAGGTCAGGTAGGAGGAGGGCATGGGTGTGAAGGTACCCTAATGTTCCCCAGGCTCGTATTGAGGAACTGGAGGAGGAAATTGAGGCAGAACGTGCCTCTCGAGCAAAAGCAGAGAAGCATCGGGCTGACCTCTCGAGGGAGCTAGAGGAGATCAGCGAGCGCCTGGAAGAAGCAGGAGGGGCTACCGCAGCTCAGATCGATATGAACAAGAAGCGTGAGGCAGAATTTCAGAAGATGCGTCGCGACCTCGAAGAGGCCACTCTGCAGCATGAAGCCACGGCTGCCGCCCTGCGGAAGAAGCATGCGGACAGCACAGCTGAGCTTGGGGAGCAGATCGACAACCTGCAACGAGTGAAGCAGAAGCTGGAGAAGGAGAAGAGTGAGCTGAAGATGGAGATTGACGACTTGGCCAGCAACATGGAGTCAGTCTCCAAAGCCAAGGTACTGAAATTTTTCTTTGTAGTAATTCAAACATAATCAAGTACTTATATTTTAACATAGAAATTTAAGTTAGTCATACTTTAAATTGCACTTTACAACTTGAATTTGAGTTTATATATTTCAGTATTAGTATAATAATATATTGTATCCTTTGGGTGAGAGAGAAAAATCTTCACCTGAAGCACCTAACCTAAGGAACTATGGGGTCTCATTGCTTGGTTCAGAATATTATGATAGTGAAATGAAAGACACTGACTTTACCAGTTTTTTAGTTTCTTGTAAAATAGAAATTACGCCTACCCTACCCTTTCCTTTTTATTCCTATTTTTCTTTTCCTCCCTCAAATACTTCAATGACATAATCACTAAGAGCCAAACAGGAATTTAAAATAATTCCTCATGTTACAGTGTCCCATCATCCTTTTTATCTATTGAAAAGATGGAGTGTACATTAATAAATTATACAAATGTTGGAATTAGGGATGCAAATTTCATAGAAAGATACATCAGTTTACTGAGACATTTTGACTTTACTTCTAAATCATTGGCTTCTTTTTTTGCCCTTCGTAAGACTTCAGATTCTCAGTAATTATCCGTTGAACCACCAGCCATGTTTCATTCTGTTCTTCATGCAAACAGGCAAATCTGGAGAAGATGTGTCGCTCCCTAGAAGATCAACTCAGTGAGATTAAGACAAAGGAGGAGGAACAACAGCGCACAATTAATGACATTAGTGCTCAGAGAGCTCGACTCCAAACAGAATCCAGTAAGACATTTGTGTTTTTTAAGAGAACACTATATATGACCTGGGCCTTTAAAAAAGACCTGGGGATCTTGGTGGAAACTAAGTTGAAAATGAGCAAGAAATGTATTCTTGTGGCAAAGAAGGCCAACAGAATCCTGAGCTGCATTAGAAGTAGTGTTGCCAGCAGGTTAACAGAGGATGATCCTTCCCCCTATTCAGCACAGGTGAGGCCACACCTGGAGTGCTGTGTCCAGTGCTAGGCTCCCCAGTACCAGAGAGATGCAGACATCCTGGAGCAGGACCAATAACATGTTTAAGGGACTGGAAAAATCCGTCACTGGAACAATCTCCCCATGGGTGTGTTAGAGTCCCCATCACTGGAGACTTTCAAGACACAACTGGACAGGGTGCTAGATAATCTCATCTAGGCTCCCTCTCCCATAAAAGGTGGGACCAGATGACCTTTCAAGGTCCCTTCCAACCTGGACTGTTCTATGATTCTGTGACTGGAGTTTCAAAGAAGAATTCATCTATCTCATAACCTAGACTTCATCCTTCTGCTTCCCAGGAGACATTCAGGAGAGGACAGTGAATATCTGAGCACATATACCATATAGTATTCATTCTGTAAGCTCAAGGCTTGAAGTGATCACTGGACTTAGTGCAAACATACAGTAAGACTCGTCAAATATTGGACAGAGATATGGATATCAGTGATTAGGTATCAGTGATTAGGATTCCATGAAAGAAATAAAATTTTGTTTAACTCAAAATATTTTTATGTGCATTTAATTATCAAGGTTAACACTTTTAAATAAGTCATAAAAAGGTTCTTTTACTCATCTGAACTCTCCCAGGTGAATATTCACGCCAGGTGGAGGAGAAAGATGCTCTGATTTCTCAGCTGTCAAGAGGCAAGCAGGCATTCACCCAACAGATTGAGGAACTCAAGAGGCACCTAGAGGAAGAGATAAAGGTGAGAAGGCTTTCCAAATCCTGTCTTATCCATTGGACTCCTCTTGCCTGGGAGGGGCTTCAGATACATATGAAATTACAGAATCAGCAAGATGAGAGAGAGAAAAAAAACACTTAGGTAATTCAGTGCAAGTCTTCCCATATTAACTTTGCTCCCCCTTCCATGCAGTCTATCCATTAATTCTTTTGCAGATTCCCAGATCTTTCTTTCTCATTCAGTAGCTTGCCATCATTCACAGCAGAATAATCCAGTGTCCATCAACATTTCAATAAGATTTCCCAGGATATTTCCATTCATTGTCGCACTATGATTTTTTCCCCAGGCCAAGAACGCCCTGGCCCACGCCTTGCAGTCTGCTCGCCATGACTGTGACTTGCTCCGGGAACAATATGAGGAGGAGCAGGAAGCCAAGGGGGAGCTGCAGCGCGCCCTGTCCAAGGCCAACAGCGAAGTGGCCCAGTGGAGAACTAAATATGAGACGGACGCTATTCAGCGCACAGAGGAGCTGGAGGAGGCCAAGTACGTGAGCAATGTGGGAAAGGCTGGCAGAGACTACAAATGGAAATTTGAGGAGACCACTGTGATATTGTCAGGAAGAAGTCAATGTTGTGCTTTGGGGTGGGGTGCCAGGAAGAGAGAATATATAACTGAGAGCAGGTATGCATTGGGGAAAAGCAGAAGCAGCAAAGCTCTCTGCAGAATAGCAGAGAGATGCTAGTGTGAATAGCAGAGGGAATAGCAGAAAGCGAATTGCTGCAGCCCAGGATTCAGACATAGAAATACAGTGGCTGGCTGCGAGAGGTCCTACACCTCTGTGTAAATGGGGATCACACACTATCAAGGGGCTAAGTGTGCTTTTGTGAAAAACATACTGGCTGCATAACACAGGCTCCCATTTGCTTCCTCTCCTGGACTGCTTACCACCTCCCAGGAAGAAGCTGGCACAGCGCCTGCAGGATGCAGAGGAACACGTTGAAGCTGTGAATGCCAAATGTGCCTCCCTGGAAAAGACAAAGCAGAGGCTGCAGAATGAAGTGGAAGACCTGATGATTGACGTGGAGCGATCAAATGCCGCCTGCGCAGCTCTGGATAAGAAGCAGAAGAACTTTGACAAGGTCTTTTGGGGTCCAGCCTTGGGGTTCCTGGGCAGAGCATCCCCTCCTGATTGCCACGTCCATACGGAGGTCCTGTTTCTTTCCAGATCCTGGCAGAGTGGAAGCAGAAATATGAGGAAACACAGGCTGAGCTGGAAGCCTCCCAGAAGGAGTCTCGCTCTCTCAGCACGGAGCTGTTTAAGATGAAGAATGCCTATGAGGAGTCCTTGGACCACCTGGAAACGCTGAAGCGTGAGAACAAGAACTTGCAGCGTAAGTCCCTGGCCCTCTGCTCCTCGCAGGCCTTTCTCACAAGCTTGTCTACTGAGCACTCCTCATGGGTCTGTGCCTGCAGGTCTGCAAAGTTGCCTGGTGCGGTCTTGGTGTGGCAGAGCCCCTCCCATTCGGCTCTGTCCCTAACCATGCTCTTGGTCTTTGTTTCCACAGAGGAGATTTCCGACCTCACAGAGCAGATTGCCGAGGGAGGAAAGGCAATTCATGAGCTGGAGAAAGTCAAGAAGCAGACTGATCAGGAAAAATCTGAACTCCAAGCCTCACTGGAGGAAGCTGAGGTACACAGTGTTATTTATTGCTCTATTACACATCTTGGATCTCTACCTCATTATAAGTGCTTTGAAGTCATTCCCAGACACAAGAGGAAAAGAGTGTTTGTATTAAAATGTAGAGATACCATCTAAACATGGCACTCCTTTTTACTCAGAGCTTCACGTTCAACATTTGTCACATAAAAAGTATTCTAATTTATTCTTGTCTAGGCATCCCTGGAACATGAAGAGGGGAAGATCCTGCGCCTCCAACTTGAGCTCAACCAGATGAAGTCTGAGAATGACAGAAAAGTAGCAGAGAAAGATGAGGAGATCGACCAGATGAAGAGAAACCACCTCCGAGTGGTGGACTCCATGCAGAGCACCCTGGATGCTGAGATCCGGGGCAGGAATGAAGCCCTGCGGCTGAAGAAGAAGATGGAGGGAGACCTGAATGAAATGGAGATCCAGCTGAGCCATGCCAACCGCCAGGCTGCAGAGGCACAAAAGAATCTGAGAAACACACAGGCAGTGCTAAAAGTCTGTTGAACAAAAGTTGCCTACAGAGAAGTGTCTTAGCTGATATTTTCAGTGCCAAACAGCTCTGAATCTGCTATAATTTCTTTCAATGGCTCTACAGGATACCCAGATACACTTGGATGATGCTCTCAGGACTCAGGAGGACCTGAAGGAGCAGGTGGCCATGGTGGAGCGCAGAGCAAACCTGTTGCAGGCTGAAATTGAGGAGCTGCGGGCAGCCCTAGAACAAACAGAGAGGTGTAGAAAGGTCGCTGAGCAGGAACTGATGGATGCAAGTGAGCGTGTGCAGCTCCTCCACACCCAGGTGAGGTCACTTGGTGAGGTATGACACGCTCGATAAGTAGGAGAACACTTTATATAAGTATGCTTTATTCCAGTCACCACTGGAGGCTCAACTTCGAAGGCAAGAGTTATCTTTTCTGAAGTAATCATCATGATACTAAAAGAGATCTTTGCTGAAAAAGTGTGTACATTGGCTGTGTTCCCAGGTTACATTCAATGCTTCTACCTTCTTTGCACCCTAACATAATGTCCAGAGGAAAGACACTTAGTCATATGGACCAGATTTTTTAGTCACATATGCCAAATGGTCTGCCATCTGAGCAGTCAGGGGCTGAAATTCTGAGACTACAGCAACATTCATTTCTTGCTTAGTTGAAATGTAGCACTAGGGAATCCTCATATTCCTTCAAAAATGTCCTTGTCATTCTTGCAAGGAAGTGAGGATGAACTCCTGGCTCTGATGTAGCCTCTGTCAAGCAGACTTTGACACGAGCTACATGTCATAGCAGTCATCCAGCAGTCAAGTGCTGAAATCCATGGAAAGTGTCTGGTTTCAAATGCTGAAAAGATTCTGAAGAAAATCGACCCTGTCTACATCACAAATTTTTCTCTTTTCAGTTGATGAGAGTGGATTACTCTTCCCTAATTATGTTGAAGAGAAGACATTTCACTGACTTCCGTCACTCTGTTTTTATTACTTTCCTGTGCCAGCCTTGGTGGGTGAGATGTGGCACAGATTATATTTCTAAGTACTCCTTTTCAAATTAATAAAATTAATTGTTGGAGAAAAAAAAGCATTGTTCCCCAGTGATAAGAAATTTTACAGAAAAATCTGTGGTATGGATTTTTCACATAATTATGTCTGAAATCATTCAAAATCCTAAAATGTTCTTGATTTTAAATAATGAGTTAACAAAAACAAACCTCTGATGCTGCTCAACAGAACACCAGCTTGATCAACACCAAGAAGAAGCTGGAAACAGACATTGCCCAAATTCAGGGTGAAATGGAGGATATGATCCAGGAAGCCCGCAATGCTGAAGACAAGGCCAAGAAGGCCATCACGGATGTGAGTCGGGGGCTCCTTTCATTGCTGATGTATTCTCCCCCAAAATGTCTCCAGCCCCAAAATGGCTTTGACCCTTTGCTCTCATCAGGCAGCCATGATGGCAGAAGAACTGAAGAAGGAGCAGGACACCAGCGCCCAAGCAGGACACCGGCGCCCCCCTGGAGGGGATGAAGAAGAACCTGGACCAGACGGTGAAGGACCTGCAGCACCGTCTGGATGAAGCTGAGCAGTTGGCACTGAAGGGAGGCAAGAAGCAAATCCAGAAGCTGGAGGCCAGAGTGCGTAGGGCTGGTATTCGTGCATGAGTGAGCATGTCCCTTGGAGAGATACCAGGGAAGCTCCAAAGATGGGCTTCTCATTGCAGGTGCGGGAGCTGGAAGGGGAGGTTGATGCTGAGCAGAAGCGCAGCGCTGAAGCCGTGAAGGGTGTGCGCAAGTACGAGAGGAGGGTGAAGGAGCTGACCTATCAGGTAAGGCAGGAGGCCTCCTTGGGCTGACACACTCCTCTTGCAGGAAGCCAAAATGTAGCCCTTAGGGATTTCTTCCTATTCTGAGTCACACAGTTAAAAAGGAGAAGACTGAGAACATGAGAAGAAATTATCTTTCTGGTCATGTTAGGAAGATCCAGCTTATCATGTATGTCTTACTGGACAGCAATGGTCTATAAGGAATGTTACTCTCTGTTTCATGTAAAGGGCATTTAAAGAGGAGGGGCAAAGAAGTGCTTCTCTTTCTTGTCCTTCTCTTTAGTCTGAAGAAGACAGGAAGAACGTTCTCAGGCTCCAGGATCTGGTGGACAAGCTTCAAATGAAAGTGAAATCCTACAAGAGACAAGCTGAGGAGGCTGTAAGTATTGCTGTGTGCAGAGTCAGTCTCCATCCAGATGGAGGTGGAAGTCTGTGTTGGTGTCTTCCCCTGCATAGCTCTGTTCAAATCCTTAACCTTTTCGTCTTTTTCTCACTGTGCGCTCAGGAATGAACAGCTGAATAGCTGTTCTGGCTGGACAGCTCAGGGGTCTAGAGGGGTGTAGAATACATTTTCTGTGAGCATTATTACATCACTGGGAAGAGCAGTGAAGGCTTAGGTCAACATTGTGGGAGTAGGTCTCTGCTTTCTTTCACTTTCTTCATTTGATATTTCTGCCCAGCTGGAAAAAAAAAACTACCTTCAAAAATTGTAATACATAATTCTATAGCAGTAAATAAATGGAAAAGGATTTAATGGAAATAACTGTAATTATATATGATTATTCAAAAATTCCAAAGTACATTAAGACTTCATATCCAGAGAGGATTCCTGGTGTATCTTATTAACCATCTAAACATTTAGCATTTAAGCTATTTCTTTGGATTCCCCCTAGAAGTATTAGAGAGAATTACATACTAACTCACAGTCTTCTTTTTTTTTTTCATTTTGTAAAGGCAAAATACCACAGCATGTCCAGTGCAGTGTTACAGTAAGAACACTATTAAACATTTTAAAACCTATTTTATCTCTCTTCCTGTCCCCAGGAGGAGCTGTCCAATGTCAATCTCACAAAGTTTCGCAAGATCCAGCATGAGCTGGAAGAAGCAGAGGAGCGGGCTGACATTGCGGAGTCACAGGTCAACAAGCTCCGAGCAAAGAGCCGTGAAATTGGCAAGAAGGTAGAAAGTGAAGAGTAAACGCCTCCAGTGGTGCAAAGTGAAAGAGAATTGCACAAAATGTGAAATTCTATCACTTTGGTTTTGTAATCACTGCTTAGTCCTTCATCAATCTCTAATTAATGCCTAGATAATAAAAATTGTAGAGATTTTCCCATGGAAATAATGAGAAGTTCACTGTTGTATTTTAATCATTATCCTGAATTCTTATAAGGTTTACATTTTTCCTTACTTATTTAAATTCATTCAATGAAAAATCTTGCTTCAGTTATTTTCAAAGTGTTTCAGCCACTGTTAAAGTGGTCTAATCAGACATTCTGCTTCATTCTCACCATGGAATTTCATCTAAGATTTCCTTAAGTGAGAAAATCATTCTTTCTTTGTAACAGAATGTAATTATCCCTTATAACTTCTGCTTTAGGAATACAATAGATTTTAACTTAAAGGTTCTGTTCAAAGAATAAGAATTTACTGCATCTTCCAGTAATCCAGTCTAATAACTGATTATTCTATTAAATCAAGTGTCTTATTTGCAAGAAGATCTTTTTTCAGGTTAAACTTCTTCAGTCCTTCAAGCCACTTTGAAACATAGTTTAGAGGACATTTAAACCTAAAATGAGATCCACTTTTAACTTTCATTCATGAAAGTGATGTGCAAACCAACATTCCAAGGGCAGCACAACCAGCTACCTCACATAGTCGTTCATTGTCTATATCCTGTTCTCAAAAGTCCCCCTAAATCTTCTAAGCTGGTCAGGCAGCCATTTAGCTCCTATGTAATCTCTAGGGTAATCCAGATAACTTTGCCTACGTTGGCCTCACTCAAAATGTGGGTTTTCATTCTTCATAGATATCAGCATACATCAGAGAATCCATGGTCACCTCTTTGAAAACAGGGAGAAATAGGTGTCACGTTCTCTGTCATAATCTAATGCTGAGAGCAGTTGTCCTTCCACAGTCTGAAGGGATTTGAACCACTGAGACCTTCTCAGGATTGTGTCATATTCCCCCTGGAAATAAGATAATTGGTGATGCCAAATCAACCATTCCTGTTGAAGATGCACTGCTATGCCTTCAGGAATAAAAAATAATTATCTACAATGAAAAATGTCAAAATGGACTCTGTAGGATAGTAGAGAAAATACTCATCTTGGAAAAGGATGACTGCATTTGATAGACCCATCAGCGCTACTGAATGGCTGGCAATTCACTAGCATTACATGGGCCTGTCCAACTCCTTTTTTGATTGGTATGATGAACCTGATGACTTGTCGGAGTTCCCAAACACCAAGAAAATTCAATTATCTTCATTTTGAGTTGGGCCATACCCTAAAACTTTCTTCCTCATCTATCCCATCCTCTCACGTCTCATATCATCTTAGAATCATAGAATCATAGAATCATTAAGGTTGGAAAAGACCTCTAAGATCATCAAGTCCAACCGTTAACCCAACACCACCATGCCCACTAAACCATGTCCCTAAGCACCTCATCTACACGTCTTTTAAATACTTCCAGGGATGGTGACTCCACCACTTCCCTGGGCAGCCTGTTCCAAGGCCTGACCACTCTTTCAGTAAAGAAGTTTTTCCTAATGTCCAGTCTAAACCTCCCTTGGCGCAACTTGAGGCCATTTCCTCTCGTCCTATTGCTGGTTACTTGGGAGAAGAGACCAATCCCCACCTCGCTACAACCTCCTTTCAGGTAGTCGTAGAGCACAATGAGGTCTCCCCTCAGCCTCCTCTTCTCCAGGCTAAACAGCCCCAGTTCCCTCAGCCGCTCCTCATAAGACTTTTTCTCTAGACCCTTCACCAGCTTCGTTGCCCTTCTCTGGACACGCTCCAGCACCTCAGTGTCCTTCTTGTAGAGAGGGGCCCAAAACTGAACACAGTATTCAAGGTGCGGCCTCACCAGGGCCGAGTACACCTCCTTTCATACCCCAGTGTTAACTGGACAATGAGGCTGTGGTGCTATCTGCAGTGTTTTGAAGAAGTCCAGAGCAGGCAGCTATGATAAACAACAAAATGTAGTCACTTTCCTCACAGTAGACTTCTGTTTGTAGTTTCTTCATTTGGCTGCTTCTGGGAGGAGTGATCTAGTCCACAACACATCTGCCATTTGGTATTGAGACACCACTGTCTCAGACCAATCTTACAGCCATTGTACTTCTCAGTGAACACAGGTTAGACTAAACAATATTGCAGGTCTCAGAACTGATCATCATTCTAAATGGTTTGCCAGCCATTCACAACCCTCCCATTTCCTCTTAAAACATAAAGTTATTAAGCTTCCCAGCCATTGAGTGGTTAGGAAAAGACAGAATTATGACTGGTGTTCAATCTACCACAGTCACTTCTGATTATGTATTAGGTTATATAACCTTTAGTTGTTTTCTACAGGTCTGATTCTTAATTTAAGGCACATGAAAGATGGCATTCGGTGACTGAGAGCTATTCAGTAATTTTTCCCCTTTGTCTTCTGTTTAATGAGTATTATTCAAACCAAGCTTGAAGATCGAAATACTAAATTCCTCATAGGCTTTCCAAGGCTATAAGATACATGTGTGAAACATTACATATGAATGTATTTACTGTACACAATTTATGCATACATATATATCTATGTGTGTATATACACACACACATACATATATACATATGTGTATATATATGCATACATACACACACACACATATATGTATATAAAGTTTCCAAAGCTATTTTTTCAGCAGCAATCCAGTAACATGAAGATGCATGTTACTGTTTCATCACTGATATGTAATCAAGGTCAAAACTAGTCATTATTTTTAGTGTTCAATTTCAAGACTTTGATAAGCATTTTACAGCTTTACAGGACAGCTTCCCCTGACTGCAGTCCTAGTTGAGTGTCACCATATCTCCAAACCCATTCCCAGAGTCACATGTCCTGACGTCCGTGGGATTGATTGCCATTTGTGAAAAGTACTGCTACCAAGTTCCTTTTGCAGGAAGAAAAAAGATGACAAATCAGCATGCAGCCTTTATACTATGCAGATAGACCTGTTTTCATGTATGCCACAGAAACAAAAGCAGTAGAAAGCCTCCTTGCTCAGAAACCCCCTTGCCTGCCAAAGAAGTATTTGGGCTTTTGGAGGCCCCGCTTCCTACTTTTCATGATGTTTTTTTCCTGCCTCTGATTCAAGCATCTTTTTCCTTCAGGGAGTGTGTGGACTTCCATCCACAGACGGCCAGACCCATCCCACAGGGAAGTC